GGAGGACAGAAGAATAAGTGAAAGGAGTAGTGAGGAAGAAGACCTGGGAGGAACTGAGAGGAACAGGAACAAAAGCTCAAAGCTATTATGGAGCGTATCCATATGAAAGTTGATAGGCTGCCTGTGTGTTTGAGTCAGCTACAATTTTTTTCTTTAGCTATATAGAGGTTTCGTTAAAGACCCTGGCTTTTGAATAGAGATGGAGAGGGGGGCATCTGTCTGTGATGTTTCCAGGGTGCCCTGTGCTGCAGCACGGACCTATGCAAGGAGGCAAGGTCCCATGCACGTCTGTCCCAGGAGCAGCAGTATCACACTGAAGCTAGTTTCCTGCCTGGGGTGGGAGATGCAAGTCTCCCGTAGCCTTGACTGGTGTTTTACTCCTCTCTTTCCCCTATGCAAAGCTGTTGCCGAAACAAAACTGTTGTTTCCTCCTTTGTCAGCTCTGTCAGCTGTGCTGGTGGATCTCTCGGTCCCGATGCAAGGGGCGTTGAAGGGGGAAGAGTAGCTCGGAGTCAAGGGTGGGTCTGACAGCGGCTTTGCTTGTCTGCTGGGATAGGTAGGGTGCCTGACCAAGTAGCTGTCAAAACTGAGGACAAAATTTGTCCTTAAAGCACAGAAAGTTAATTCTTTGTGATAGTGAAAAAGTCATCAAGTAGTCACATAGTTGGCTCTGTCTCCTGGGCTTAGGTGGTTGCCCCTGCTCCCCACAGCCGTGCTCAGCCTGGGCAGCAGACGTGCCTGCATTTAGTAATGTGCTTTTTTTTTTGGTCAATGAATTGGAGATGGCTTACCAATATGGATAACAGATTGCTGTTCCACTCCATGTTTTGCATCCTGCAGCTGTGGAGGATATCAGCTTTTTTTTTTTTTAACTTTTGCAGAGATCCTATTGTGTTGCCAGCAAACAAACTGGCATCTCATGTTTCTGTAGCCCCTGAATTTGTTTGTCCTCACCAGAATAACTTCTGTGGTTTGCTGTCTAAATAATCCGTGCAAGCCTCTGTGTTCTCGGTCCTATCTCATTAAATGGAAGAATGAACTAATTTAAGACTGTTTCCTTGGTGAATCACCTGAGGCTTTCAAAAATTGTGAAGTTAAGCTGTGATTTCCTGTTGTTTTATCTTACGACTAAATGATCTTTCTTTAATGTGACTAGTCAGAAATGTAGCTTCCAGGCATTTGTGGTCCTGATGCTGCTTTGGGCTTCACCCAGGCAGCCGTCTCGTGCGTGGTGTTCAGCCTTACCTCTTTATCAAGGGTATTTCATCAGAATGATCTTTTAGCAGCAGAAATATATCCAGCTAATAACGTGCTCAGCGATCCTGACTTCTGGCTCTTAAGACAGACCGTGAAGCCCCGACTCCTGTAGTTTTATTCTTCAGTTCCTCCGCTGGTAAAACTTGACTTTGATTCAAGGCATTCGTGTCAAAGGGTCTGGATCTATTTTTGTTGTCGTATTTCCAGACCATATTTTTTGTGGCTTTTGTTCTCTAAAGGAAAACGAAAATGTTTGCTAATTTAACCTTTCCTTTGCTCACAGAAAAAAATAAAGGTAAAGCTAGTCAGATTGGGAGCTGTCATGTGCTTGATGTGTGCTTGGCACTTTCTCAAGCTAGGAAGGCGGCCAGGTATGCTTTGAATAAGTTTGTCTCCCTGTTGCCAAAGTCCACCAGCCTGCAGTGCTGTGGACTGTAATGATGTCGTTGGCCGTAGTTGAAAGTGAGTTTGCTGTGAGTAGTTAGCTTGTCGGCCGTGAGGAAGGATGTTATATGAGCTGGAGATGGAGCCTCTTGGGCTTGTGCTGTTGTCTTGGTGTTAAGGCTAGGGTAAATAAAACTCTGAGGTTTTCCCCACATTTGTTACTCCTTCTTGTTGTAGGAGTAAGGCAATGTGAGAGATCCTTCAAGGCCAAACCAAGGCAGACAGCAAAGATGTGGGTGCAGCATCTTTGTGCCTCCATCTGGGGGGCAGAGGGATCGTGGCATTTTCTGTGCGCTTTGTTGGACCTGTACCCATGCAAACAAGACTCTTCCACATCGTGTAAAATTCAGTGTCATGCAGGAATACCAAGCACCGTGTTTCCCCCCCACATCCTGACAAACAAGCAGCTGTCACTTGGGTGTAATGATGGGCGAGCTGCGGGGTCTGGGTGCGTGGGATGAAGGACTGCTTTTGTTGCAGAGCTCTGAGGAAAGGACGAGCCAGGAGGAGGATTTCGCGGTGCCTTTTGTTGCTCAGCTGGCACAAGCTGTTAAATCTTTGTCTGGCGCAGATGACCTGGACGTCTGCAGCACCCAGTCTAAATAAGAAACCTCAATAAATAAATAAGTGTCTGTAAATTTGAGGCAGAAAAAGGCAGATACTTTCATTGCGACTATTTAGTGAATCCATTAAAACAATAAAAGGAACCAGATTCTTTAAGCATAGAAAAGAGCGATATCCTAGCCGGTCCCATCCTTTTGTTCTCATGTGGCGTTCTGCACCGGCGATGAGAAGGAAAGCACTTAGATAGGCGCTAGCACGTGCTGTGTCGTAGGTTGCGGTACAGAGTCTCCTTAGTTTTATTATGTACTTTCATGATGGGCTCCAGTTGACTTGGACAGCTCTGAGCAGGTGTGCCGCTAAGAACTTGCATTAAAAAAAGGGGTTTTCCTTCTTGGATTTTGCAGAGTTGCTCTGCAAAAGTAAGAGGATCGTCTTTCATGTACGTTTTAAAAGAGGGAAAAGAAATGTGCTAGGAGAGTGATACCAAAATAATTTTGGTTTTCTTTTTTTTTCTTTTTCCTTTTTAACAATGCAAAACTAGCATTTGGCTATAGTTTGAGAAACTTATCATGTCATCTCAAGTCATATGTCGAAAGCCAGGAAGAGCCAAAAATGACACTTACAACTTGTAAATGCCAGCCTGAAGACTTTCTGAGAAAATAAATGAAGTAACTGTTCACCATTAAGTGTGCTAAGTATTTGGGTATGGTTAATGAGATTGTCTCCTCCTCTTTGTTATCTATTTCCTTGCAATAACTTCTATCTGTCATCGTACAAGGGGATAAAGAAAGAAATTGTCAGTGGAGGGGGGTGGAGTTGGAAAAGCAGCTGTTTCTCTGACCTGAGCAGTTCAGCTTGAAACCATCATGTATCAGTTAAGACTGACATCCTTTGATTTTATTTTATTAAAAAAAATTTTTTTGAGGTTGTTTATACAAGGTTAAAGGAATAAATCAGTGGTGTGACTGCTAACAACCCCCTCTCCTCTGTTTTTTCATTAGGTGGCAGTGAAAGTAATTGACAAGAAAAGAGCCAAAAAGGACACCTATGTCACCAAGAATCTGCGACGGGAAGGGCAGATCCAGCAAATGATCCGCCACCCAAATATTGCTCAGCTGCTGGATATACTGGAAACTGAAAACAGCTACTACCTTGTCATGGAGCTGTGCCCTGGTGGCAACTTGATGCACAAGATCTATGAGAAAAAAAGACTCGAGGAGCATGAAGCACGCAAATATATCCGGCAGCTTATCCTGGCAGTTGAACATCTTCACCGGGCAGGAGTAGTTCACAGGTAATCTTAAAAACCCTCCCTGGTTAAAATTTGTCTCAGAGCCTCCAGGTGGTATTTTGGCATTTATTTGTATAGTAAGGAGTGTTCCTTATAAAAACATATTCCTGACAGCTTTTTTGGCTAATCTTCATGATATCGTTTAGGTGCTTGTATTGTAGACATTAGAAAGTATCTGCAGAAAGCACTTCAGTAAGTGTGTAGCTTCAGGTGAGCACACGGCAGCTGTGCTGACTCCGTGTCCTTAAAGATAAGCCTGTGCTTTGCAGAAGTAGGGCTCTTTTCCTGCAAGTAGCACTATTTTGCCTCTTCAGAGCGCTGTACCAACATTAACTAATGAATCATTTCACTATTTCTTTGAGGAGGTGGTTGTGTCTGTTGTTTTACTGGTGGAAATACAGCAGTATGGGGAGATGAACTGATTTGCCCAAAGCCTCACAGTGACACAGCTGGGACGAAGCCTGAACGGGACCACAGAAGTCCCTTGCTTCTGCTTCTCTGCTCTTTCCGCTGGTTATATTGCCCCAACAGGACCTCACAAGTTTGAATACTGTGAAGTACAATGCAGAGTATACAACTGTTCAGTTCATCTCACAGCGTCTTCTCAGGAGACATCCAGAGCTGTTGTGATATATCACTTACTTTCTTTAGGACCTTCGTTCAGTCGGTGTATAAGCAGGATGTGGATCTCCTTGCAGGAGGAGGATGCTGTGGAGTTGTAAGTTTACCCGGGCTCAAGGGGAAACAAGACAAGTTCATCAGAAGAAGTCTGCAGAGGGTTGCTGAATAGGGAGTAGCTACCTCCGCCTGACGTCCCTGAGCAGCAGGTGGTAGAGGCTAGGAGAGTCCAGGTGGAGGTATCACACGTGGTTGCCTGTCCCTGTTCCTTTCTCCGCTTATGTGTTCTTGGCTGCTATGGAGACAGGAGGACGGTGGGCTGGGTGGACCTTTGGTCTGAGCCAGTATGTCTCCTTTTCTTTCCTTAGATGTATTTATAGGGTATTGTCTAAAAAGGAGCCTCCGCTTTCTAAATTTGGGCCAACTGGTGTTAAGTCTGGACTCCCACATACTTCCCATATGATGCTGAGCAAGTTGTGTAGGCCCCATCCTCTTAGGTTGTGCAGGCACGGAGTAGGAGCTAGACACCTGAATACTTTCGAGGATCTGGGTCTTAATTTCCTTGGCTGACTCTGTATGACTCTCCGATGGAGAGCTGTTGTACACACCCGTCCACAGGGCTGCTGTGCAGGCAGCTGGCAAACTGCCTGAAGGCAGCCCACAGCCAGCTCCTCCAGCTGTGCCCAGCTGTGTGCTGAGCTGCCTACCGCTGTGCAGCGCTGTTGGGTGCATCTGGCTTGGTGGAACTCCATGCGCTCTGAAAACTGCTTTTTTTGTCTTGAGTCACTCTGTGTGTTCCCTGTGATCCATTAGGGATAGGTGCTACAACCTCGGGTGTACTGAAGTCTTATCTCGAGCTAAATTTCTGGTACCACTATAACATAAATGTTTGAGCAGCCACCACATCTATTCTGCAGGTTCTCTATCAGCAGCTAAACTGCTGACCTCTTTAAATTATCAACCCCACAGTTTGGGGCATAGAAAAGGAAGAAGTCTACTTACTGCTTTAAGGGATCAATTGATATCCGGCATGTACAGAGAGAGGGGAAGGAAAAAGGTCAAAGTTTCTGAGATGGGCAGAGGAAAACCTGGCAGGAACAAGATGAACGCATTTAGC